GTAGTGGTGACAATGGTGGAGGAAAGGGATAGTGGTGTGAAGGTTGACTCTAGCACCCACTGGACATCGGTCCTCTGACTTTCACACCTGCTCACGTGCACCATCACAGGTCAAGCTCTCTATGTAGACCACTAGCTAGTTCCTGCCCATTCTCTCTCTGCCTCCTCAGTCACAAGCCAGGCATGTACTCCATGTGCCTTGGGGGAAACCCAAGAAGCAGAGGCAGCAACCCATATCTCTGAGCAGCAGCCAAGGTGACTCAGGCTGAAACAGCCGCCACAGGGACCTGCCTGGCCATGTCTGACAACCTGGGGATCTGGTTTCCTGGCCTCTCAAGAGGAAGCAGCCACTCTGGTAGATGCTAAGTTCCTGACCCTCTTCTCCGTTTCCAAACCCACAGCTGGCCCTCCTACAGGGTTCCAGACTAGGTTCTGTGATGCGCTGCCGGGCAGCTTCCATCCAGAGCTGTGACACTGAATGCCAGCCTTGAGTCAGTGTGGGGATGGTGAGACCACATAGAGAAAGCATGGGTCTGCATCTGAGTTTTCATCTTCTTTGATCTTCAGGCCACAGCAGGAGGTAGAGAAGGGACCACTGTCCCTCACTCAACATGTCGGGGACCTTGAGTACAACCCAAGCCCTGAGCCTTGACTGAGAGTTACAGCATTGTCAGCTCTATGCTGCATTGTCTCCTCTATGGTGCCCCTCAGCACCCTTCTTCCCCTGCCACCAATCTTCTCCTCCCTACGTTTCCGGGGACTCTATAGATACAGACACAGGTCTCATTTTGTGACACAACCATGACTCCAGGCACAACACCAGTGGTTCCCCAAGTAGACTTCACAGGCCACCTTGCTGTAGCCAGATAACTGAGAGAAGAAGTGACTGCCTCGATTAAATGACCAATCACAGCAAGAAAGAGAGTTAATCATCTTTTGCATCTTCCTCATCACCACCTTGGGTACCACAGTATGGAAAGTCCATTTTTTGAAATCCAAGACAGATATCAACAATTTCACATGACTCATCTGAATAGGATGGTTTTAGGCAGACTAGAAGTTATAAATAATCATGTAACTATGCAGTCCCAACTCCACTAATGAAGTAAAACATGAAAATTCTCTCTACATCTGGAGACTCCCTCCCCAACGTGGCTCCTTCTAGAATGTTCTCCCACATGTAACAAGCTGCTTCCATTTTGAGACCTTCACAATTTTCCCTTTCTCTGTAAATTTCAACAGTTTGGCTATTATGTACCTATATTAGACCGTTTTTCATTGCTGTCACAAAATACTGGACAAAAACAATGTAAGGGAGGGTTTATTTTGGCCCACAGTGTGACAGGCTACCATCCATCAAGGAAGGGCCAGAGTGTGGCCAGAGTGTGAGGTAGGTGGTTATGACACATGCACAGCCAGGAAGCAGAGAGGGAGGAATGCTGGTGCTTAGCTCACTTTTTCCTTTAAAACTTAAAAGATACTCTTATTATTATTATTACTCTTATTATATTATTATTATTATTATTTGTGTGTGTTTGTGTATGTGTGTGTATGAGTGTGTGTGTGTTCTCTGTGTGTATATGCAGAAGTCAGAGAATAACCTTCAGGAGTCAGTTCTCTTCTCTCACCAGGGAAAACTCGGGTCTCCAGGCTTACATGGTCAACACTTACTAAATGAGCCATTTCATAGGCCCTCATTTTCTCCTTTATAGTGTCTGGGACTCCAGCCTATGGACTGGTGCTGCCCATATTCAGGGTGAGTCTTTCCTCTTTAGTTAAGCCTCCATGGAAAAATCCCTCCCAGACACACCTAAAGGTGTGTCTCCTACATGATTATGAATCCAGTAAAGTTGACCATAGAGGTTAACCAGGACAGTCTCTAACTGTGGTTTTCTTGTATTTTCCTGAGTCTGTACCCCTTCTAATACATTTGGGAAAATTTGAGAAATTATTTCTTCAAATATTTTTTCCGTTCTAATCTCTCTCTTCTATGTTTCTGTATATGTACATACTGAACTTTAAAAAAAAGTATTTATTTGGATGTGGGGGGTGTTCACAGTGCATGTGTAGAGGTCAGAGAACAGCTTGTGGGAGTTGGGGTTTTTTTCTTCCACCATGTGGCTTCTGGGGATTGAACTCAGGTCATCAGGGTTGGCAGAAAGTGCCTTTACCTGCTGAGCCATCTTGCTGGTCCAGCTGAACCTTTTGATATGGCTCTACAGATTCTTGATGTTTACATATTTTTGCTTTGTTTGTTTTTTTTTTTTAATACATAGTCTCCTTATATAGTCCAGGCTTGAACTGGCTGCCCTCCTGCTTCAGCCTTCAGAGTGTTGAGATTACAAAGGTATGTGCCACCACACCTAGCTCAAGGTTTATATTTTAATCTTTTTCTCTGTTCTTCAAAGAGAATAGTTCCTATCATTCCATCTTAAAGCTTCCCTTTCTTCAGTAGTCTGCATTTCACAGTTAATCCCATCCAATAACATTTATAATCTCATCTATTCAATTCTTCAATTTGGTAATTTCCACTTAGTTATTTTAATGTCTTTATGTTTATATTAAAATTCCTTACCTTTTTCATTTTTGCAAGCATATTTTCCATTATATCTTTCATGTTTCTTTCACCAGTGATTAAAATCACTGCTTCAAAAATCCTTACCGGGATGCTGGACATGGTGGCGCATGCCTTTAGTCACAGCACTTGGGAGGCAGAGGCAGACAGATCTCTGTGAGTTCAAGGCCAGCCTGGTCTCCATAGTGAATCCAGGCCAGCTGTGGCTACAGGGAGATGCTGTCTCAAAAAGACCAAAAAAAAAAAAAAATCCTTACTGGGTCCAAAGAGATGGCTCAGTGAGTAAAGGTGCTCAGTCTGCCAAGCCTGAAGACCTGAGTTCAATCCCCAGAACCCACAATTGAAGGAGAAATCTGACTCCTGAAATCTGTTTTCTGATATCCACACAACTGACATGGGGCACACACATCCACGTTCATATACACACATAGACACAAGCACAAACAATAATAATCAAACCTCCATCCACTAAACTCAACACCTGAGTCATTTTATGGGTCACTTGACATCAATTTTTCTCTTGAAAGTGGACCAATTTCTCTTATTTCTTCACATGTCAAATGACTTTGGGTTCTGGTATCTAAACAGCAGTTAATACTGTTCTTTGTCTTAGCAGTGATGGAACTTGGAGGAAGTCAAATACAATCTCCCACTCCCATTCTAGTCTCATCTCAGCTCCATGGTAGACAGAAGTTCAAATTCCAGTTCATAGATCTGGAAACTGATGTCTGGGTTGATCTGCAGATTTGGGGCTATTCCTCTCTGTCACTCTCCTCTCTTGGATGTCCTCTCTACTTCCAGGTACTTTGTTGTGTGTGTGTGTGTGTGTGTGTGTGTGTGTGTGTTTAAGACAGGGTCTTATGTATCCCAGGTTGATGTGGAACTCACTAGATAGTTGAGGCTGACCTTGAACGCCTAATCCTCCTGCCTTCACCTCTTGAATGCTTGGAATATGGGCATACACCATGAAACCTGGTTTACTTGGTGCTGGGTATTGAACCCAGGGTTTTGTTCATGATAGGCAATCACTCTACCACTGACCTACCTTCCCAGCCCTCTTTTTTTTTTAAGTCAGTTTTAGGTGCCTCCAACAACATTGTTTGGGACCTGCCTTTAAGCTCATCTCCCAACCTGGAACTTACAGTGATCATCTCACTGTTGGTGAACCTGCACCCCTCCATTATCATGGGCTCCATTCCTGTCCTCTACCTTGTTTTCTATATGTCCCTGAGTTTAGATTTCTTAATCTGTAGGAGATGCGGTCCCATAGAATTTATCAGCCATGCTGGAAGGCAGAATCCTTTGTCTGATCACAATAAACCTTGCAAATCATCCCACAGGAGAGATGTCAAGACTGAAACTGAGAGAAAAATGAAGATACAGTTTATTTCACTATGGTGGAGGGGGCAATCGGTTGTGATTTAAAACTAGACTTGGGGGCTGGGATGATGCCTCAGCTGGTAAAGGCGTTTGCTGCAAGCCTGCTGACTTAAGCCTGATCCCTGGACCACCTGTCAGAATGAAAGAACTGACTCCTGGGAATTGCAAGTTGTCCTCTGACCTCCACAAAAGTGCTGTGCACGCAAACACACAATAAGTAAATATAACAAAAACTAGGCCTGAAAGTTTTAGAATCCCCAAAGAGCCTGGATGCTAGGCAAATCCTCAGTCTAGCATATTAGTAACTTGGAGCTATTCGTCAATAACCAATGCTCCTTAAAGGCTTACCAGGTCAGTACTAGGCACCTTAAATACATCACCTCCTTTAATGCTTAGGATGACTTGAGATAGGTGTTTTTACTGGGGAATTTTGCAGAGGTGAATGAGGTTAATGGTCACAATTATTTGCATGATTAACCAACAGCAATACTTATATTTATCAAACAATTATCACACTGCAGGAAGCAGATTCCATATAGCATCTCATTTGGCCCACTCAATAACCTTGACGTAAGTATTGTTATCATTTCACCTTCTCAGATAGAGAAGTCTAGTTAACTTATCCAAGGTCACATATTAGCAAGTGGCAGGCCTGGGACTTGAACTCGTGCAGCTTGGCTCTGAACTCAGCCTGGATGCCGTGACAAAACATTGGAAAGACATTTTGGGACCTTCAAGGAGGCAAGTTCTCTTCCTCTTAGTGTGGTGTGCCCTGGATTGTTTCCAGTGGAATCCCTGGGCTTCTTGGGCACCCGCACACATAGGTGGTACCTAGCCAATGTCTCTAGGAGCTGAATCATCCTGAGTCTGTTTCCGCCCATTTGTCAGGCACCCCAGCGTCCAACACAAATGAGGAAACATTCCTAAGAAGGATTGACTGCGCTTGACGGCAGAGGTTCCCTTCTCCTGCTTCTCACTTCATTTTTTGGATGCTGCAAGGCTGGGCAACCCCAGGCAACTGGCTTGCCTCAGAGCAGGCAGGAGCCATGAATCACTTCCAGGCCATCCTGGCACAGGTGCGGATGCTGCTTTCCAGCCAGCAGCCCAGGCAGGTGCAGGCCCTTCTGGATGGCTTGTTGGAGGAAGAGCTGCTCTCCCGGGAGTACCACAGAGCCCTGCTCTGTGAACCGGATGGCGAGGCTCTGGCCAGGAAGATCTCCCTGACCCTGCTGGAGAAAGGGGACTTGGATTTGGCTTTCTTGGGCTGGGTGTGCAGCAGGCTGCAGGCCCCAGTGGTGGAGAGGGGCACTGGCTACAGGAACCATGCAGGTAAGCTGGTATCACTTTGACTCAAAGGGCGATGATGAGCAGGTGGCTCTGGGACGTTCCCTCCTGTCTGAAAGGGAAATCACTGTACAGGACACAGGGTGTCTGATAAGCTGAAAGGAGCACCAAGCTCCTAGAAAACCCAGTTGCTGTGGCTGGGTGCAGCATGTGTCTCACACTGAGAAGTGGAGCATCCTCAGGGCATACCACTTAACACCTGCTTGGTCTATGCCTAAGCTCCATCAATACTGGCCTCTGAGGGTGCATGATGGACAGATGGACTCTTGCCTCTAATAGAGACACCATCTAGTTGGAAAACAGAAAACAGACATGATCAATCACTGCCGCTGAAAAATAGAGAAACTGTGGTTGGGAATGTACCTCAGTTGGTAGAGTGCTTGTCTAGTATGCACAGAGTGCTTGGTTCAACCCCCTCCCCCAGGCACCGTATGAACTGGGAGTAGTAGTTCACATCTGTAATCTCAGCACCTGGGAGATGGAAGGAAGAGAGAAGTTCATGGTCATCCTCAGCTACATAGGGAGACCAGCCCGGGTTACGTGAGACCCTCTCATAAAACGATAGAGAAATGGGGGCCAGGGAAAGAGGGGCCAAAGAGCTGGAAAGCAAAGAGCACTGTGTATATGCATGACTGTATGTGTATATACATGCACTTGCTTGTGTGAGACACACACTGACAAATAGAGAGAGAAAGAGAGAACCAGAGACATCCAGATGGAACCAAGAGGAAAAAGAGGAGAGCTGAAAGGAGGAAAAGACGTTAGAAGAGAGAGACAGAGACAGACAAACAGACAGACAAAAAATAGGAGCTAGCCCACAGGGAAAATAAGTGTCTTTTTTACAAAGTTTAAAATTTTTCAAAGTTTTTTTAATTTAATGAGTGTCTTTTTTAAAAAATTACATTTATTTGTTGGGTGAGACGTGCATATATGTGGAAGTCAGAGGACAACTTACGGGAGTTGGTTCTCTCCTTCCATGTAGGCTGCAGTGATTGAACTCAGGTCATCAGTCTTGGTGGCAAGCACCTTTACCCACTGAGCCATCTCACCGACCCTCGTGTCTTATCTTTTATGAGTCTTAGCGACACTCCGGTGTGTTTACTTTGTTTCCTTTCTTTGGTGCTGGGGACAGAACCCAGAGCTTTGAGCATGCTGGAACTGGCTCTCTCACTGAGCTCTACCCTGGCCTCCTAGATCTTAAGCCAGCACAGCCCTCTCTATTCCCATCCTTCACTCTTCCAGCATTTCTGATTTCCTCCTCAGGAACAAACTGAAGACAGCACTTGTCCTTGTTCTGCAGGTGTTTTGATCTTAGGACTGGGATCACAGATTGCAGTCTCATCACCACTTCAGAGTATCTTAGAAATGTGAAATACTCCCTGGAACTGGTATCTATGATGTACTTACTGAGTACAGGGCACAGCCTGCACCCCCTGACTGAGTTCTGCCATTCATCCCAGTCCAATTTTGATTACCTGTGTCCCTCATCTGATACACAAAGCAGAGGCAAGGTAGAGGTTTCAGGTTGGGAAATAGCAAAGGCTAGATCAGAAAACAGACAAGCTGTGCTCCTCAGCCTGGCCTTGTTGGGGAGGGAGTTCAAGACATATAGTTGTATCAGCAGGGTTGGCTATTCTCCTGTGTGAATTCACTGATATCCCTCCTCTCCTGAACAGAACTTTCATTTATTTCCCTCCTCTCACACACACAACGGACATCTTTAGCCCTGGATCATCTCTCTGTCATTCCGGCAGGGCACAGGCAGCCAGTGTGGTCCTGAAGGGGGTAAGTGCCTGGGGAAGAAATCAAAGCCTCCCTTCTCTCTCTGACAGCCACCAAGGGCAGCTCCTTCCCATGGCTACTGCCACACCTCAGCCCCTCCCATCCCCTCTTTCTGAGCATTCTGGTTCCTGTTATTTAACTCCATTTCCTCCCTGGGGATGTAATATTTTTATTTGGATCTCACGTGACTTCAGAAAGTGGAAGTAGACTCAGTGTTGTGGTCGTCAGGGGCTGGAAGACATGGGGGTATGGAGGCCTTACCCTACCCCCTTTTCCTGCCTTCCAGGCCAGTTCTGCTCCAGGCTGGGACTTGACCCAGTCAGCAAGCAGGTACATTGCTACAGAGTACAGGACTGTAGGAACAGGCTCTATAGTGGAGAAATGAAGGGCACTGACTGAAACTTCAACAAGAGGTTTAGAAAAAGAAACCATTAAAGTGGGGTTTTGTAACTCCTTCTGGAATGATTTCAGCCCTGCCACTGCTCTAAAGATTGAATTGGCTCCCGGTGTCACTCAGAGGAAAAGCTGAATTCGGGGATAGCCCAAAGGCTCTTGACACTGGCTCTTATCACCTTTCTGGCCTCATCCCCTCCACTGTCTGCCTTGTTTACTCCAGCCCCTCCCGTGCCTCACTGCTCCTCAGACATACCTGCTCACTCTCCACCTCAGGACCTTCACGTGTACTCTCTCCACTGTATGGAGCACTCTTCTCTAGGTACACGCATGGCCAACATCTTAATGTCTTTTAACTCTCGGCTCAAATATTACCTTATCATCAAAACCTGCCCTGATTCCTGATTCCATATAGTACAAATCCCCTAACACACACACACACACACACACACACACACACCAATCATGGCATAGTT